AGCCAGAGCTGTAGACCATTCCCACAGTCAGAGGAGAGGAATAGCTGGAGAACACTCATGTAGAAGCGCATCACCCTCAGCGTAAGCCTGAACTCCACACACACACACACGCTCAACTCATCTCTTCATTCATCCAGGACCAGCATAGATGTCAATGCAGAACCCATACTGGGTGAATCAGGTCGGGGATAGAGTTATAGAGCACGAACAGCTTTTCCAGAGCCGCACTGTGGATGTGTGTATTACAGGAGTGTTGATGTGTGTTCTGATGTGTGTGTGTGTTTCAGTATGGGATAAAGAAGAAGGAGGAGAAGGAGGCGGAGGCGGCGGCGGCACTGGAGCAGGCAGCGGAGGGCAGTCTGACCCGACCCAAGAAAGCCATTCCGGCCGGCTGCGGAGACGACGAGGAGGAGGAGGAGAGTATCGTGGACACCGTGATGAAGTTCCTGCCCGGACCCCTGCAGGACATGTTCAACAAGAAGTAGAGCTGAGGGGACTGCTGCCATACACACACACACACACTCCTCTGAGGACTCTGGACAAACACACACACAAACACTACTGCCGTAAACACACTACTGCCAAAAACACACACTACTGCCATAAACACACACACACACACACAAACACACACACACACACACACACACACACACACACACACACACACACACACACACACACACACACACACACACTGATGTTAAATCAGTGGTTCTTTAATGTTCTTGGTCACGTCCCCTTTAAACCTGTTTTTAAGTCTCTGCACACTTTTCTAGGGTAAAAGATGTGAATAATATTGAAGATGAAGAGTGAAAATATTGAAGATGAAGAGTGAAAATATTGAAGATTTCATTTGAATTTAATTTGCATAATAAGGAACACGGCTTTGATGTGAACCGGCAGCTCCGCCCTCACTCCTGCGCCTGTGAAGATGCTTTATTCAGAGACACCTCCTGATTCATTACGCTACATGGACTAAAATACTGTCGAGAAATAAGAGCACACACACACACACACACACACACACACACGTTAAAGCAGAGGAGAGCAGGCCTGCACCACAGCCTGCAGGAGCTGATCTCAGTAGTCTGTAATGTGGTGAGTGAGCGCCTGACGCTGTTTAACCCATCGGCTGATCTGCTGAAGACGTTTCTATTTTTGTAAATCTTTCACTGTTGAGGAAACTAGACACAAACACGACTGACAGAGATCTACGCTATACTCTGATGATGACCCAGGAGCATCTTTGAGAACCACTGAGTTAAACACACACCTGTTCAACCCAATCATGTGGAACACACCTTTAAACACACACACACACACGTTCGACATGCACCTTTAAACACACACACACACACACACCTGTTTGGAGTCCAGAGCTCACAGCAGGAATCTTCCTCCCTCCTCATCATCTGTCTGTAAATAAGTGATAATAAACAGATACACCTATATATGGATATATATATATATATACACTAGCGATAGCTGATTCAGATATATACGAATAATCTCTGAGTAAAAGCCATAAACTAATGCCGGAGGCGTCTCTCCAGTCATCTATTTTTGATTGTTGCTCTGTTCTAGATATTTCCATGCATCATCCTATAGATATAAATATATATACTGTAAACGGATTCGCTCATCGACCATCACATGGTGTCCGATCACACACACACACACACAGACAGCGTGGCCCATGATGGTGTAGTGCCGTTTCTCCGCATGCGAAACAGCTCTCCATGCTCCTCCTGTGCACTGTACGCGCTCCAGCTCCAACACGCTCCAGCTGAAGGCAATAACTGAGCTTGTTGTCTGTAGATGTGCATCGCCTCACTCATTAAACAGATTCAGCACTGGCGAGTGTTGCGTTCCGTATATTGTACACCGCAGAACCTCCATCACACACTACTACAATTGGACCAATAGGGCTATAGTCATCCACAGAGGTGAATCTGGATCATCGTGCTCATCTGCGCTGCTGTACAGTCGTGTGTCGTGTTTCTCTCTTCACCTAAACAGACAGTGACAATGGTGCAATATTTGTTTCTGAATGAAGATGTGCTGTGCCGATGCTTGATTATAGATCAGCAATAACAGACAATCTTCATCGTTATCTATGTTTAATCGCTCCAGAATGTCCATGTCGTCTTCCTAGTTTCAGTCAAACCAGCTTATTCAAGGAGAGATTAGTTAGGGTCTCTAAGCGCTCGCTTCTTTATTCGTCACACTGATGAACAGGCGTCTCTTACACAGAGCTTGAGTCTGTTTCCAGTGCAAACATCTGAAACTCTTAAACGGAGAAGACGTAGACGAGCACTGATAGAGTCTTGTGTTCAGAATAATGAGTCCAAATGAAGCGAGTTCTTCAGTAACACAAGCAGATTAATCAGATCCCGTTCTGCTCGTCCACATGAAGCTTCTTGATGTAAGAATGTTGAGATATTTGCAGCAGAAGCGAGACCGAGCTCAGAGTAAAGCCTGTTCTGCAGTGGGTTTTCCTCATCCAGGTGAAATCTGATGATGGTAACTCAGATGTTAAACTCAGACTGTGTTTATAGACATCTTTTATATCATGCTCTGCCTGTGTTTCATTCATTTATATTCACAAACACTGTAAATAACGACGCACATGTAAAACACCGCAGAAAAGGTGAACGTAGTGTAGGATTAAGCTGCCATCGTGTCGTTTTAAACATTCCAGATTTTCCAGACATTCCGTGAAGAAAATATTGATGAGGAATAATATCCAGACATCTGAGTGATGTCAGGAGTAACATATGCTAATGTCTGTGCTGTGAATGTGGAGTCCCTCATGAATATTAATATCCGTGGCCACGCCTCCAGATCTGACTGCCTTTCTCAGACGTGTAAAGTCTGATGTGCCATTCTCTCGTGTCCAGACGCACAAAGCTCTGCGTTCGCTCCTGTCCGACTGCACTAATGGATAATACACTGCCCAATCACATCACTCCTTTATTAAACCAAAGAGTGTTGCTGTGTGTGCGAGAGAGTGTGTGTCTGTGGACAATATCCTTTATTTGGGTCCTCCTTTGGGTTTGGTGTCTCAAACTGAACAAATAAACCATCAGAAAGAAAAACAATCAAGAGCAAACGTCCCTGAAGATGTGTTACATGTTGGAGAGTGAAGAAATAATCATGCGTCCTCATCTACACACACACACACACACACACACACACACCCTCCACTGGAGTCACTGCGTTTCTCTCCATGATGAAGATACTGCCGTCATTACAGCACATGATGAATATGCCATAGTCGTGATCTCTGAATGTACGTGTCCTGCGCAGCTCTTAAAGCGCCGCTGTGGTTCCTCTGTCTGTGAGCTGTTCCTGTCTCTCGATGGTTGTGTTCTGGAGATATTCTCTTTAATTCTGTGTATTCTGATATGATTTCTGTAGTGTGTATTAAGGTCAGAGTATCTTTTCTCTCTCTGTTTCTGTATGCATGCGTTGGCGTGTCCCATGTGTGTGTGTGTGTTGTAGATGATGTTTGTGTGTGTCTTCTGTGTTTTCATTGCATGCTCTGATAGACAGACTGTAGACTGTAACATTCCTGGATCGCCACACACACACACACACACACATAATAATAATAATAATAATAATAATAAAGTGATTTGATAGATCTGCTGTGGTGACCGAGTGTTTCTCTGCTGGAAATCTCCCGCTCTACATCTCTGCAGCACACACACTTCAGCATCTTCATGTCTCAGTATTGTCTTATTTCCAATTGTTATAGTTTCGGGTGAATCTACAAGCTGAGCTGCTGTGTGTCTTTAGGGCTTTCAGCTGTTTTAACGCACACACACACACACACACACCCTCTCTCTCTCACACACACACACACACCTCTTTTAACATAAATCATTGATCATTTCCCGGTGGTTATACACAGTGATGTTTGGTGTCAGTCAAATAAATCAATTTCATTAAACAGATATACTCATTAAATAAGAGTTTATTCATGAACACCTTCAGGAGCCGACAGATCATGCATTTAAACTCAAACCACTTGTTACAATAACACAATTACAAACTACACAATTTCTATTTAATATTTAATTATATATTTTGCCTGTTTATTAAAATTATGTTTGATAATTTGTGTGTAATAATCTCTGGACTGTGATCTTGTTAGATTAGTTGATCAGTTCTGACTCTGGTACTGACTAATCCTGTGTATCTGCACACTTATATATTACTGTAAAGCGTCTGTGAGGGTTATGAACTTATTTATTATCAACAATGTGTGTGTATATATATATACACATAAACATTCACCGGCCACTTTATTAGGTACACCTCACCAGTACCAATTCGGACCCCTTTAGTCTTCAGATCTGCTTTAATCCTTGATGTCAGAGATTCAACAAGCTACTGGAAATATTCCTCAGAGGTTTTGCTCCATATTGTCATGATAGCATCACACAGTTGCTGCAGATTTGTCGGCTGCACATCCATGATGCCAATCTCCCGTTCCACCACATCCCAAAGCTGCTCTATTGAATTGAGCTCTGGTGACTGTGGAGGCCATTTGAGTGCAGTGAACTCATCGTCATGTTCTAGAAACCAGTCTGAGATGATTGAGCTTTATGACATGCTGCGTTATCCTGCTGGAAGTAGCCATCAGAAGATGGAGACACTGTGCTCATAAAGGGATGGACATGGTCAGCAGCAATACTCAGGTAGGCTGTGGCGTTGATGCTCAATTGGTACTAATGGACCCAAAGAAAGTCTCCCCCACACCATTACACCACCACCACCAGCCTGAACCGCTGATACAAGGCAGGATGATCCATGCTTTCATGTTGTTGAGGCCAAATTCTGCCCTGAGCATCCGAATGTGTCAGCAGAAATGGAGACTCATCAGAGCAGCAACGTTTCTCCAATCTTTGGCATCATCAACAAGGCATTTGGCACACAGAACTGCCGCTCACTGGATATTTCCTCATTCTCTGTAAACCCTAGAGATGGTTGTGCGTGAAAATCCCAGTAGATCAGCAGTTTCTGAAATACTCAGAGCAGCCCGTCTGGCAGCAACAACCATGCCTCATTCAAAGTCTCTTAAATCCCCTTTCTTCCCCATTCTGATGCTCGCTCTGAACTGCAGCAGATCCTCTTGACCATGTCTACATGCCGAAATGCAGTGAGCTGCTGCCATGTGATTGGCTGATTAGAAATGTGCGTTAACAAGCAGTTGGACAGGTGTACCTAATAAGTGGTCAAATTAATTCATATATATATATTAGAGCAAAAAATATAAATAGTTGATCCTAAATTGATCCTTTAATGTATAATTTATGCATTATGCAAATCTATCTCCAGCCTTGTGAAGCTGCTCTACATTTCTACATGTTCCACTAAATGAGTTTAATAAACACAGAGGGGCTCGGAGGAAAGTAATCAGCCTCATTCAGATGATGATTGGATCTCTGCTCAAAGATTAATCTGGAGAATATCGTGAAGATCAGCATGGTGGAGCAGCAGCTGTGTGTGTTCAGCCTCATCGCTTCAGTCTAATCAGCGTTCAGCATCGAGTCGAGCATCACTATAAGAGGATCATTCAACACCAGTTAATGCCGTTATCAGCCCTGCAGATCGCCTACAGTAAGCCATCAGACATCATGTGTGATTACAGGAGCAGCTACAGGGTCCTGTTTAAGCAGAAATATTAATATTGGGAACATTTTCATCATAACCAAGAAAAGCTCAGATGAACCAGAAGAGAGAATGAGAATCTCATGGACGTCACTCAAGAAGCAGAAGAATGTGATGCGGAGTCAGCCGGCCGCTGTGGACAGGCAGTAGTGCAGCAGTAATAGAGCATTATTATAGCCTCAGTACAGCACCAGTGCAGCAATAGGTGAGGTAAGGGTTGGGTTTCTGGGGTTCACTGACACTACTTTATCAGGATTTCCTCAACTGTGTGTTCTGTTGATTATGTCAGTTTCATCTCAGGAATATAAACCCAGTAAACACACGCAGAGATCAATCTCTCCACAGCATTAATGACAGTGATAATGTAAATCTGTGCGCTGCACTGAAGCCCTTACAGGTAAAGACTCCCATCCTCCGTCTACCAACATCAACAGCAGATTAAATAAAGAGCACATCAGATATTAATAATCAAGCGTCCTGAGGCGAGAGTCAGCTGAGCTGTAAACCGCAGAGTTATGAACACCTCACACTTCTATAGCCCACGGCTCATAGTCATGTCCAGCTGGAAACACACACTCAAAGTGTTTGCCTTCATTACTCGCGGAGTGTGTGAATCGCGTGTTTCAGGCAATACGTTTCTCTGCTGTCGTCTCCCTGCAGCTGCTGTGAACCGCTCCACCAGAGGTGCTGTCTGCAGTTCAGCAAATCTCAAACAGGCCAGCTCACACACACCGTTTACATGTCACATGTTTACAATCACCTGTGTGTGTGTGTGTGTGTGTGTGTGTGTGTGTGTGTGTGTGTGTGTGTGTGTGTGTGTGTATGCGTGTGCGTGTGCGTGTGTGTGTGTGTGTGTGTGTGTGTGTGTGTGTGTGTGTGTGTGTGTGTGTGTGTGGTTTTCAGATGTGGAGACTGGTGTGTAGACGGCGCTGATAAACACACATCTGACTGCAGATCTGCTGTGTCTCTGTGATGAAGCTCTGCAGACGCGCTCAGCTCAGACTCCGGCATGAGGAGGTCATCTCTCAGTGTTATCAGAGCGGCGGCGGCGGCGGTGCAGATGAGGAGAGCAGCCTTTGATGAGGAATTATCTTAATGATTGATGAAGCATCTGGGCCACTTAAGATCAGCTCTCCAGCCGGCCGGCGGGACGTCAGAATACCAATGACCCTTTGAGGAGAGATAATGAGCTGAGGCTGGAGTGAAGAAGCTCCTCTCTGCAGATGAATGCAGAGCAGACTGAAGGAGAGACGCCGGCTTTCACATGATAATCAGCTGCAGGAGCAGGAGATGCTGGCCGACCAGACGACTCCACACACACCAACACTGCAGCATTATCCAGATCTACAGCGATATGCACACACAGTGTGTGTGTGTGTGTGTGTGTCTCCGGCAGTGCTCTGTGGGGAAGCAGACACAGCGTTTCTTCATCTCAGTTTAATTATATTCCTCAGTTCAGTTCAGCTGCTGGATTCACACCTTCACACACATTTCCCACAGCGCTGATTAAATCCTGAACTGTGTGTGTGTGTGTGTGTGTGTGTGTGTGTGTTCAGGCCGGATGTGACTCTGGTGTGAGACGGATCAGCACAGCAGACATGATCAGTGCAGTAAACCCTGAGCAGCAGCAGCAGCAGCAGCAGCACTGTACTCTACAATCTCCTGTTAATCGGGAGTATTTCCATTATTCACTCAGCGCTCACACACTCACACACACTCACACACACTCTCCACACACTCCCCACACACTCACACACACTCTCCACACACTCTCCACACACTCCCCACACACTCACTCCTGAACACAAGACTTTCACT